TCTACTTTTCTGTTTCCTTTTCCTGTCAAACTAAAATATTAATCTGTTTCTACCATCTTTTGTATGGATCTTACCATATATTTAAGTTCCTTAAAATCTCTGAGATTTTCATATCCCAGCCTTCCTCAAGAAGTATAAATTAATCCTCCGATCCATTAATCTGTCTGCAACCCAGGAATCATCTTAAAGTGAACTATATTTTTGGATCTTCCCATTCACAATATTTCTAAAACTTGCATGTGTTTTCTATGTAGTATATCTGAGACTATTCATATATAAAAATTTAATTTCTCATCATCAGTTTCATCTTATGTCTCAATTACTGCAACACAGCTTTTAACTCATGACAAATGTAATTTTCTCAATGACCACAAGACTACTTCAAATACAATTTTTTTTTAGTTCACTACTTTGGCCCTGTTACTGCCCTTCCTTCTCCTCTATGCTAATTCCTCTCTTCCCCATCACATCAAATAAAAAAAGACTTGACTGTATTTTCAAGTCCTTCCAAGCTTTTACAGGCACATTAATTACTTTCTAATGACTACTCAGACATTGAATCTCATCTCTGTTCACTTCATGATACCTGTTTCAGCCAAGTATTTTATTTTCTAACAGTCCTTCCACACTGCACTCACCCCCAAAGGGGGCCGGCAAAGCCTTGTTATTTTCCTTCCAAGAGGTATCTTAAAGCTTATCCCATTTCAGATGCCGAAACATCAATGATAGTTAAAAATTTAAGAGTAGAGGCCACTGGTTTGATAAATCCCCATACATTTGTCTCTTATCTGGTGTTAAAATTTATTTGTAAATTGTCAAGTTTGGGACAATCATTTCTGTTCTTTGTGTGCTGACATAACGAACAGCACAATCCTGCTGGGCATAGTTATTAGCTACAACTTTTACTAAACATTTACTACACATTTTTTCTCAACACTGGCCTCCATACTACAGTATCTGAAGAAATTCACTTTTTCACTTTTTAATATAACATGCAGACAAATACATGCAGTCTGCTGCAAAGTCTTTTTCATTCTTATCTAACTGATGCCAGTTAGAGTACTCAAGTGAGTGAGGACTACTCACATAAACAAGACAAAAATTGACCCTGTAATTCACAAAAATAGTAATTTTTGAGCCACTGAAAACCACTGAACACATGAACCACATTTCACCTCCAGTAATTACATACTTGCTTTAATAATACTAAGTGCAACCTTGATTTTTTTTTGTCCCTATCAGAAATGCAACCAGGCTTAACAATTAAGAATTTACTTTTTAAAATAACTGTTTGTTTTGTGATTTTCCTGATGTCAGAAAATGTGTTGAAGTGCCATGCAATTAGCTTTTACATTAACACACTAATCTACTGTATCACTTTTGGAATAGGTCCAGTTCACCTAAAGTACCAAAACATAAGATTTTAATGGACAGAAGCACAGGATATATTAAACATCTGACATAATACTATTTTATGACAGACTACAGGAACAGTCAAGAAAAGGCTACTCATTAAGTATATTTATTGCTCACTTTAATAAAAATAATGGGAGTTAGCATAAAAGTATATTTTCTCAATCTTTGCATTACTATATTCTACTTTTAAACATTATTTCTGAATCTTACAAGAAAATTTGCGTTTTTAAATAAACATGTTTAACTGCAAGTCTAGTGAACTACTCTGGTAACAGCTTCATAACTAAATAGCACCAATAAAAAAATAGCACTCTTTATATTTCCTTTAGAAAGGAAATCTATACTAATTATAAAGCTAAACAAACCAATATAAAGATAATTCTGCTTGTGACTTCTTTCTTAATAAAAAAGTAATTCTAAATGGTTTAAATTTCCAAGTCAGATATTTAAAGTTTCTTCCTCCTTTTAAAGTAGTTTCAAAAATCTTCCAAAACTCCCTGCCCAAACCAATATTTGTTCCATCTCCCTTCGTTATAGCTTGGGTTTTTTTCCTAGGTATTAACACAATCTTGCCTATTCTTGGATCAAATTCCACCCCAACTGTATGGAGCAAGTCCAGCAATGTGAACATGTGCTTTCATTAATGCACTAGTGCAAGTATAAATGTCTTTCTGATATGATCCTGAAAATGATTCTGAAAAAAATGCAAATTCACATTTCTCTGTGAAACATGGTATCAAACATCATCAGTTTGGTTGTGTGCTGATCTTCCACTGTTGGCCTATTGGTTAATTTGATGTCTTTAATGTTTTAAGTTCTATTCTCATGTTAAAAGTCTAAGTGTTTCCAGAGTTGGATTCTTAAAAATGTATTAAGTAGTAGTTTCTGAAATATAAAAAGTGACACTGGAAAAATGTCTATTGGAATAGTCACTTACCATAGTACATTTTGTTCCTTGCATGTACTGCCTCCAAAGAGGCCCCCCTTTGGGATTACTTTCCCTGCCATGAAGCAACAGAAACCACAAAAACCGTTAGATATTAAATGGAATATTCACATATATTCCAATGTTCTGGAAGAAAACATAGAAAAATCTCCAACTTCTTAACTCCCTAAGCATTGTTACATTCCATAAATACCCAACATAAAAGCAAGGCTGAGGAGCTGGTGTAAACCTGCATAGACAAATCACTTGAGAAAAAGTTACTTGGGTAAATAGCATCCTTTTTCTCTCTAATGACACTGCCTGCACAGATCTAGGAAGTAAAAGACTGGTAGAGACAATTCTGAGAACCTGATCTGAGGCAGACTACTAGTTGTAGAGAGAGTTAGCTACTTGTGTTCATACATTGTATCTAATGTAATGCAAGAAGTCTTGTTGCTTGGGAGCTTTTAAATAAATTAACTACCTCAACAAATATGTTGTAAACTAGTTTTATATCGAAACAGTCTAACACTTAGCTTTTTATTAAACCTGACCAAAAGTTACCTTAAAAAAGGCTTTTGTGCAGTTAAGCAAATGATTCAAAACCTGTCCAAAAGCTTAAACCAAGACAGCTGTTAAAAATGGCCAATACTATTATAGTCAAGAATACAGGAGAGGAGTGAGGGCATTTTAAGACTGATCACCCTTCTAAAAATACACAGAAAACTGCAGTTTTGAGAGTTCCTTTTAGATTCTGCAACTACAAGAGGAATATTCCTCCAAAGAGATGTGAGACCTTTCGGGTGCCAGGAGTTTGAGCCTAGGAATGTATGTCTCACTTATTGAGTATGCAACTCCATGAAATCTTTTTGTATGTTATTTGGTCAAGAATAAAAAAAGACAGAATTAAATAATTTACATTTTAAAAATGAAAGACAGAATTATGAATAAATAAAATATATTTTAAGCTATCAAAGGAGAAACATAACTCTACTTCCACCCCTCTGTCCCAGAAAGGTGCCATAACTCATTAAGAGAATGGCATTTAGCGTTTGGCTCTTTATTTGCTTTCTAATTCACTTGCAGGTTGGCCAAACACTGTTACATATTGTGTCACCCATTGACACTTTCTTCCTTGCTTCTGTTTTCTACAGAGTTCCACAATGGAATAGCTGTTCTTCAAAATGGGGTTTCATTCTGTTGCCCACAGACATGTCAGATGTCCTTAATATCCTGTTTGGCCCCCAGCTGCAGTACTAAAGTCTCTCGTATCTGTCATATCTACTATCCCATGTAGATGTTTTGGCTACCTTGAGATGTCTCAAATACTAATCGTTGCCTCTTTGCAGGCAACCATTTCATGCTGTCAAACAACTATTTTCAAAGACTAGCATTGCAAACTCTTGTAATGATATAACCTTTACTAGGAAAAGAATGAGATTGTTGTAGATAGACTGGGAATAAAGATTTTTTAAAACATCAAAAAAACCCCAAAAGGATCAAAGAGGATCCCACGACAAACCATCTGGTAAAGTCTATGTAGAAACAGAATATACTACCTTAATTTTCTGGAGCATTTTACAAATCCATGACTTTTTTTTACATCTTCATAAAGGTTCTACCCAAGAAAGCTTAAAAAAAAGTTTCCTTTGTGGATTCTTGCAGAAAAACTGGAAGCCACAACTAGCTCTGAAAGTACTTACACCTAACCTGAAAAGCTGTAAGCAAAAACTCCAGATATCCTACATCTAAGGAATGCTTATCACGCTCACACAACTGCCATTACCATCCAAGCATGTCTTTTCTACAAACCTTCAATCAAATTCAGGCACAGAAAAATGACATGAGTACTCTAGGCTTTGAGAACTCCATAATCTCTGACCTCATAGGATCAAAAATAAAATAAAAAAGGACACAATTATCTTACTAAATGTGTTCCTCAGATGTATGAAATACAATTTCTAGGATGGAATTTTATGCCTCTATAGAATTCTGATTTTAAAAGTGGTATTAAAGCTTCCCTAACAGATCTGCTAAAGCTTTGAGTTTCCCCTCCCCTCTCCCTAAACATGCTACCACTACAATATTTTAACTTCCATCTGCATGTTGTGATGCTGTTAAAAGGGCGCTGTGAAAAATGTTACTACACATTTCAGCTTCTGAAACAGCTATTGGTGGACAAAACTTGGAGAGTATTCTGCTACTCTGCATTGTGCCAAGACTGAAAAGTCACCTAATTTTACTTTTTTTTTATGGCAGATGAATACACAGGCAACAGTAGTTTTCTTTGTCCCTCTTCTCTTGACCCCAAGCTTGAAGAATGAATAAAATCAACCTTTGACTGGGTCTTTAACAAACTATAGAGCCATATCAAAAGTTCAGAAAGTGAATCAGGGAGTTCTAAGTCCTGCCATGTTTCAGTATGACTTATCTAATTACAGAATTAACAATCTCTGAAGACCATTTTTATGTCAAGTCAAAAGCTAGAAAAACATAACAGAATCAAATGACTGCACATATTAACATGTAACTGGTCTTAAAAACTAACTTCAAGTGGGTGTAAGTGCTAATGGCAAAGCATACAAGCTTATCCATGGTGTTGTCCAAAAAAGCTTGAAATAAACACAAGAATAAAATAAAATAAAAACAAGCAAATTACCTGGCAAGGCTTCTTCATTTTAATTGCTATAACATGGTATCTGTAACAGCAGAGTTCACAGGTCCATGACCCTCTTTCACTTATCCACTTTAACAGGCAAAGCTGATGTGTGTATCGTACTGACCCATCGCAGCGGCAAGGATTTAACAATTCACCCTGAAAAGGCAACACAGAAACATTAACTTTGAAGGATTTTTTTAAATGTACATGCATACTCAAATATTTACAGATCTGTAACTATGAATGGGTTTCAATTCCAAAAGGTGAAAAAGCATGTATATTTGGCTATAAAAATATTCAACACTTAAATTGTCTTAAAAACATCTAAGTGCTTCTGATGAGATAAAGCCAGGTAACTGTCTACGCATGAATATGTCCATATGTGAAAGACTAACATGCATCAAAACCCAGTAGAATTAGCCCTTTCAAACGCCTCAGATGGTACCAAAAGTGATTAGATGTATTTCTCCAATAGTTATTTGCAGTCGGCACTGGGAAAGAAACAGGTGACATCACAGAAAACCAAGCTCTTGGAGCAGGGTTATGTGCAGTTCAGCTAGCCAGCTGTCAGGCACGACCTCAAACAATGTAACTCAAAACTTGCCCGGTAGTTCATCTATTTCTGTATTACATTATACTGTCTTCTTTCCTTGATTTTTTAATTTTTTCCAGCTAAACTTCAGACATGCTATAAAATGCCTGTTACAGACCCACTGCTAGTACTGTGACCCGGAATGTTATGACAGAGAAGATCTTTGGGGGTCTTCTCAACGTCACTTGTAAGTCAACACTCTCGTTTTAAAGTCTGATAGGAACACGAGAAATTCGCTTTGCCTACAGTCCCCGCGGGTGACAGCAAGAAGACGTGCTGCCCGCAAGCCAGCCAGCCGTAGCGATTCCTCCCGGAGCCCTGTGCCGGCTCAGAGTTGCCCCGAGCGCCTGCCGCCACCACC